CAGCTTCCAAAGTCTGGAGACCCCCTGTGCTAGTTTTTTTAACGGCTCACACTAGGAAAACTAAACTCTACACACCTTTTTGGCATGCTATGAAGTACCTTTTAAGCCTAATAGCCACTTGGTTCCCAAACCCAAAATGGGGGATTTTGGGGGAAACTCAAAAGTTTTAAATAATAAGCCCCATCGAGTGACACCTCATTTTGAAGGTCCTGGTAAAAGAAAACTAACAACGCAAACCTAATGGATGCTGATTGAAATTTTTAGAAATCATAAATAACTTTATGGTCATATACTTTTATATTTAATTGGCTGCCATATCTTAATGTGTTAAGATAGAGAGACCTCTAGTTTGCGTTTTTAGTTTTCTTTTGTTATGTACTTCAAAATGAGGGGTCACATGATGGGGCTTATCGTTTAAAATTTTTTAGTTTTCCCCAAAATCCCCCATTTCGGGTTTGGGAACCAAGTGGCTATTAGGCTTAAAAAGTACTTCATAATATGCCAAAAAGGTGTGTAGGGCTTAGTTTTCCTAGTGTGAGCCGTTACAAAATTTACAGGGGGTCTCCAGACTTGGAAAGCTGTAAGTTAAATTTAACTTCTGAGAATTTCAATTGGCTGCCATTTTTTACTGGATTGAGATAGAGACCTATAATTTGCATTGTTGGTTTTCTTTTACCAGGGCCTTTAAAATGAGGGTTCCCATTTGATTGGTCTTTCAATTTGAAATTTTTGAGTTTTCCCCAAAATCCCCCATTTTGGGGATGTACACCAAGTGGCGGTTATGTCCAAAAAGTACTTCATAACATGCCATAAAGGTGTGCCGAGTTTAGTATTTCTAGTATGGGCCGTTAAATAAATAACAGGGAGTCTCCACACTTGTTACTAGCCCTGTATACAAAGTCTTTAAATTGAAGTGTAAATAATGATTACTATTAGATTTTTCGGTAATTTTAAACAATTTGATCCTTAAATTAAAAATTGTCCAGTAAAGCTTGTTTATTGGCTTTAGATAAGGTATTTTCCCTACTAATTTAAAGTTAAATGTCATAATACCAATTTCCAAAAAGCCAAACTTAATAAAATTGAAAAACATAAGACCGATTAGTCTGATTTCAATTTATTCTAAAATATTAGATAAGCAGATTAATAGACTAGAGCATTTTAATAGATTAGTAAAGTATTTTAATCAAATAACTTTTTTTCTCAGTGGCCGTTTGGATTTTAGCGAGGAAAATATACAGAAGTTGCTATGTTGATTTTTTTTATTAAATATATTCAAGTTTTAACGGTGATATGAAAAGTCAGGACTTTTTGTTGACTTTATGAAGGCCTTTGACCTGGTTAACCATATACAGAATGTTTTTTTTTTTTTTTTTTTTACTGCATCTTTATTTATGTAAAAACCGAAATAGATAGAAATATGCAGTTTGCGGGAATCATCTATTGACGTAGGGGGCCAATTGTTTTGAATTCAACGTTACATTCACATTCCCCCCTTTCCCCCCCCCTGCCCCCAACTTATTTTTTTTAAATAGCAAGGTTTCCCCCCTCCCCCGTTCCCCGGAACTCATTTTTTTTTAATAGCAAGGTACCCCTTGTGACATATCAAATGAAAAAAATTAAGTTGGTGGCAGGGGGGGAAAGGGGGGGAATGTGAATGTAACGTTGAATTCCAAAAAATTGTGCCTCTACGTCAATAGACGATTCCCGTCAACTGCATATTTCTATCTATTGCGGTTTTTACATAAATAAAGATGCAAGTTTAAAAAAAAACACCCTGTATGTATTGCCTCTATTTAAGCTTGAGGCATTATTCGTATTAGAGGTGTGGCGCTCAGTTGGTTCCACAGCTTCCTGACTGGCAGAGAGAAGCAGTTACGGGTTGGGGACTGCCTCAGCAGACCACTACCCGTACCTGTAGGGGTGCCTCAGACAGAAAAACGAAGCTAGATAGGGAATATGTTTACATGCTATTTTTTGTTTGTTTAAACCTAAGGAACATGATCACAGATTTTCGGGAGAGAGTTTCAAAACACTCTACACTTAAAGTATTTTTTTTTTTTTTTTTTTTTTAGGGTGATGAGGGAAAAGGCTTTTACGCACACAGGTAGCCAGCCTGTAGTGTGAGACTCCTAAGTCATCACAGACTACTCACTAAAAAACCCCCTCTACTCTGTTGGACACAGATCTGGAATTGTTTGTCACATTACTTCAAGTCAGGCCAACATGTGACCTAAGCCCACAGGGCTCGCACCGTTTCTGGCATTATTTATTTTGTTGAACTACACCGCATCCCGGTCGAGGTCAAGCTTCTTGGCACGGAGAACACCCTGGATGTAAAGTGACACACAAGTCCAATTGTCCTCACCCTCCATCATCGTATGACCGTGTCCATCGACAGCAGTCCTTAAAGTATACTTAAAGTATTAAAGTTAATAAATCTTAAAAGTGGAAATAATGAAACTTATAACTTATATTACAATACCAGAAGCGTAGATCCAAAAGTGAACAAATAACTGTTCAAACAATATGCTTATTTATTTTTGGAACCTTTTGTATTTAAAATGTTGGCAATTGAGATAAACGGAAGTAATAAAGTCAACAGTTTTTGTAATAGGCTGAATGATTGGTTATGTAGGATATTTGATACTTTGTTACTTTGGAATAATTTAGAATGAAATGCTATGTTTTCCTATTTTTATATTGGAATAAGTTTTATTTATTTTGTGTCCATTACTTATATTTTTGGCGGTCATATATTTATGCTTTCATTTTTTAAAGTAGAACTTTATTAATTTACTAGCTGTGTGCCCTTTCTACGTACGGGGATCTTGTAGTAAGTTGAAACCTTCTTATACTCAGAACAGGAGTTGGTTTGCATATTTAGTGTGCATTTTCCAGATATGCTGGCAAAACTATGAATAGGAATACATATCAACCTTCGCAAATACAATATCTGTCCGTTTCAAGCCAAAACTAATGCTTCACAATTAAATGTGTCCCGATCGTGTTATTCCATATTTTATATCTAATGATAAAAAGGATTGCTCTATAGATCTATAAGGCATAGCCCTGCTGGTTTAGTCAGTAACAAAGGACAAGGCACCTCACTTCATTCTACACTCATCCTTCACTCATTTTCGGGTTGGGATTCAACTCAGTAGACAGTAATAAAAATAGTATATTCGTTGAAATATTCGATAACACTAATTATAATTTCTTCAAATTTTTTTTCACCATACCTTAGTTCATATCAGTCTGCATACAATGTATAGAGCTACAGTATTGGCGAATCATATACACGTGGTGTTTACTATTTTAGAGTATTTTTAATATTCTGATGTCCAACCTTTCACATAAAAGAGAGTTTTATACCATGGCATAGTGACTTTTATTTTGGGAATTCGCCAACTACCAATCTCTATCATGATTTGCTAACTCTGCTCTGAGTCAATTTCATTAAGTCACTTTTTTCATTTCTACTTTGCTTATGAATAAATAGGATATAACCGAGTTTCCAAATTTAAGCTTACGTATGTTATAAAATTCACCTTCAAAACATTTTGATATACCAACACCTGGACAGTAAACATTCGATAAAACTTATATATATGTAATAGCTAAATCTCTCTTGCTTCAAATATTTATGCAGACGTGTGCATTATGTTTACATCCTCTCGTAATAATTATTATTGTTTTATCTCTGGGTTTTGATTTTGTTTGACTACCAATCAATCAGTTCTCTCTGTGATTTTTCTATCGTGATTTTCAGGCTTTAGGTGTGGTTTTGTACTAGTCTTGAAGCTTACTCACTTGATATTGTATTAGATTTCACGTTGAGGAAACTCTGTTTGGAGATGCAACATAATTGCAATAATCTAAAAAAATACCATTTTCAGGAATCAAATTTAGAAAATATATGACACGTATACCTAAAATGGTGAAGCAGGTCCAAAAATTCACTATTATTTCAAAGGACACATATTTTGTACGTGGTTTTCATATGTTTTCCTTTCAGGAACATTCTAGTTGATCAACACATCCTCAACACAGTTATTCATCATCAGGAATGTCTTTTGTAAATTAATGTCATATATCAAAAACCTGTACCTATAAAAGAACAGTAAATAGTTGATGGGCTTGTTTCCATCTAAATATTTGTTCGGTAATTAATACATAGTATACTAAATCAAGCTGTAGAAAGTTTAAGATTTCTAGTTTAGAGGTTCAGGAATCTTTCCCTTCTACTTAAAATATAACGAACGAAGTTGTCAGTTATGTTCTTGTAGTTAAATAGCACTCTTACTTTAACACAATCTCTTGCATACATTAACTGCACCTGGATCAGTTGAAATGTAAAAGTTTAAGTTTGGATTTATGAATTTTCTGACGTTATTGAAAGATGAAACCAAGACACTTCTTATTATCTAGCCTCAACAATGAGATAACTCTGGGAAGTTTCAAAACAATCAGTGCTTATCATCGTCAAGAAAATTCAGTTTTGATTGACAGTTTTATCAGTCAATTGATCCACTCAACATGACTATAAATTGGTAACAATCAAAAAGTTTAGTTATGTTGTTTTTGTTGGACATCCAAGGTAAGTTGTTACTTAGTCGTATTGTTATCTTTTTGTTACAAGGCACAGACTGTTTAGTGCAGTTTCATCCACGTTTTAAATTATTTTAGTATGATAATTGTTAGAATATTACAATAATCGTACCCTAATGAAACTAGTTTAACCAAATGCACTGAGCAAATGTAATCTTAACATTTAAATTTTAAAAATCCAAAAAGTCTTTAAGCCGCTACGTATGTACATATTGACTCAACTAATCTGGAATAAGAGTGAACCTATGGTCTAAACCAGGCCAGAATAAATAAATAAATCGTCAACTAGTCAATAGTGTTCCATTATATAATTTTTTTGGGGGAATCTTATTTATTTTTGAATAGTTTTTTTTTCTTCGTGAAAGATTTTAATACATATAACTTTTGCATTCAAACATCAAACAATGCAACAGTCATGTATACCAAATGCCAATGCTGATTTAAGATTATTTAAAAGAGTAATCTTTGATTATTATTTGATTGAAGGTAACGATTTGATCATGGAGCTAAAATAATAATAATTTTGTTTAAATTACTTGTTTTATTATGAAAATTATTCTATAATATTTATCTGATTCCGGAACTGATTTTTATTTTATTTTGATGGCCTCAAAGGCTATAACACAAGTTGATCAAATGCAATAAAGATTTTGATGAAATTTGGTTTAAACGTATTTGATAAAAAGACATTAATTCGAATGATTTTGCAAACCAGCATGATCAGACTAGAGGGATGCTGTTTAAGGGGGGTATTATAGTGTAACTATTAGGGTTTTTTTTTTACTTTTTACCTTAAAAATTGCTTGAAACGTTTTTCTTTACCATTTTGTAGAGCTTAAAAAACAAATAATTTATCATATTGAGGTCTTTTTAATTGTTATGCACCAAATTGTAAAGCAGAAAATTCCGAAAAAATTTAAATTCCCAAGTTAATATTAGGGACGGTAAAAAAAATTTAGTTTGCTTGTTGGGAACATATTTAAATTAAATTCGGAAAATATATTTATTTTATTTTAAAATATTAACATTTCACTAATAACATTTTACTACCTTCTCTGTATTAGCAAACCAATGTACTTGTTATGCAAATGTTATTTCAGTAGGAAATAAATTATTATGACATTTTAAAAGAGGTATTTTAGGGAAAATCTAGTAAGGCAAATGGAAATTCGCTTACTCTGCAAGTTTGCCATGGCGGGGGTATCCAACCGATATGTCATAAAAAAAAGACATCTCATCTTTATGGACCGGCTGTGGCAAATTTTTATTAATAAATGAACATAGTTTTGAGAATCTGTGAGCCAGTTACAGATTGTGCTAGTGGCCAAAACTTTATTTTTTACCTTACCATTTAATAATGGTATAGTTGACACGACAAAAAGGTGCTATAACCTTCATTAAGTCATCCTATCAGCTTGACTTAGTTAACAAGTTTGCATATTCGGCAGAGATCAGTAATTTGCATCAGTGCAATTTGTCGGTGACTTACCTAAACTACATTCATTTTAATAAAACAAATTTTAATAACTTTAACAAAGGGAAATGATGTCTTGTTTTTTTATAGTTAAAGTATTAGGTCATTCGGAACGCAAACGAAAGAAATTTAAACTTATCTGTAAGCTATGTACATTATAAATGATTTATCAGTCTAAAAATACTATTTTAACAATGTTGCTGGCATCAATCAGGGTTATCCAGGTTAACCAAATGATTTCCCGATATTTGATAATGACTTGAGTGTTCTTAGACAGTGTATTATTTGTTGATTATTCCAACGTTATTTTTCAGTCAAGATGAAGCTGTTACTTTTGTTCGCCCTTGTAGCTTTGGGTTACTCCCATCACATCACCTTCCCGGAAGAGGACGAAGCCCAATGGGAGCTCTTTAAGGTAAGGCATCTGCATGTTTCTTGATCAAAGAATTTTTTTCAGCCTCAAAATAGTATATTACGCTACTAGTCTTGGAAATAAGTGTTTACCGGACGAGTGTGAACGTTCCCGTGTGAGACGAAGTCGTACGATATTTCACGCCATACTACTAAATCTGTACAAATCCTTATATATTACCACCAAGTAAAGGACTAAAAATCACTAGTCAAACCCCTAAGAGAGGTTATGTTTTTGTTTATGACCACTCATTGTCACCCAAATACAGTATAATCAGCTGATTGGTGCCCGGTAAAACGCGTTACAGTACAATAGTACGCAATGAAACCCCATTTGATTAAGCTGGCGGCAAACAGCTATTTTCTGGACTAAATCATTGCTTGGGAAGTTCATCAAAATAGTGTAGTGTGGCGTTAACATATGTACGGCCTCTAAAACAAAATTTGATATAGTATTTACCCGTTAAGATGATTTTCTGATGGTAATACATGGTCCCAATTAACTAACTTTTACATCAATTATCTTAGTTTAAAATTTATTTTCTTGTTCCGCTAGTGATTATGTCAGATACAATTCGAACGCGAACAGTTTTAGAGGGAATTATGAGTGGAATCTTAGAAGAAGTTAATCTATACGTACCACTTTGGATACTACATAAAGCTATTTAAACTATCACCGAATAAATCTATCCAGTTTTATAAGATGATTTAAAAACTTCAACGAAAATTAAATAACGCCTCCAATATGTTTATATCTTTCATTAAACTAACGAAACCTCTTTTAGTAAATATTACCTTTTATCTAAATTAATCTAGCAGTTAGTTTGCTACTGGTTTATGTTAGAACAATACACAATGAAACACCCTTCTACATTATTTTTTTGTTCATTGAACAGTTGCACCCAGTTTTACGTTGCATACATCATTTGTTAAAATTTTGCATTATAAGTTAAATATAATATGTAAACTTTATTCATAATATGATTCCGATAGTGAAAACTTTGAAGTCTTTCACTTTCAATGATATGTTATGGCAACATTTACCTTTCAATAAATCAATGTCAGTATAATTATAAATCGGTGACATTGATAATCTTCCATTTCAGATCGAACATGAGCGAGTGTATGGAGATGAGAAGGAGGAGTACACTAGGAAGGAAATCTTCATGAACAACCTCAACTTCATCCGTGAACACAACAAGAAGTACGAGCGAGGAGAAGTTACCTTCACCGTAGGAGTCAACCAGTTCGCTGACATGGTGAGATGTAAAAATATCTTTTGGTTAAATTACCATTATTTGTTTTACAATATTACAAACAATTTAATTACTTACTTACGAGTACTCTGCTTCTGTTTCTATAAACATGTAATGTTTATATACGGTGTATCTATTACTATGAATACATATAAATAAATAAAAAAGTAGGGAACTTCACGTACTTTTCTCAAACATTGAAATACAGTTTTTAGAATTTACACTTGTTTTAACATGAATTAGGTTTAGACATTTCAATTTCAACAAAGATTTTTTATATGAACCAAATACTTTCTCCAGACCTGCTATGTAAAAGGGTTGGTGAGCGGAAAGGAAAAAATGGATTTTGGGCTGTAAAACCTCTACGTGATTATCATTCAAAGGTTTTCCATAGAAATTCACTTCAGCTGGGCCATAATAGACTTCACTATTCAAAAGTCAATGGGTTTTTTATACATAAACTATTGCTTTTAGACAAACGAAGAGTTCCGCCAGAGGATGAACGGATTCAGAATGCCCGAAGATTACCAGAGTAGTGGAGCTAAGTTTGAGATCGACGAGTACCTGGAAGCTCCCAAGACTGTTGACTGGAGGAAGAAGGGAGCTGTAACCCCAATCAAGGACCAAGGACAGTGTGGATCTTGCTGGGCCTTCAGTGCAGTAAGTTGTCCAACCTGGGGGGCTCTAAAATTATTTTAAGATATACTGCGTGCCAAATATTATGTGTGCAGGAGAGAATGGACTTTGACACCTAGAAACTAAAGTAAGAGGTTTTAGGTCCGTACGGTTGACCCAAACTTGGACTATTGAGCTATTAAAGATAGCAGTCTGCAATTAGGTATAAAAAATATAGTATTCATGATCGAGATTGACACAGATATAAAATTTAAAGGTGAGGAAGTTGCAAGCTAAAATATGGTAGACAATTTTAATTAGTTTTTTATTTTTATTTACGATGAAAACACAGACATTGATAAGAAGTACATACTTGAACCACAACTAAAAACTGAAGTGGCTTAGTTTTGTGTGTTGGTAACAATATCAAAATATTTGTATTCTCAGGTTGTAATTTCAATTCGGCGTTGCATTTAAAATATCCTTCTGCAGTTTAGTTAATTATAGTTTCCAGCAACATTATTTAGAGTTTACGAAGAGCGTTTTTAAAGTAGAGATTTATTTTGTTCTGTCCAACCGAATGAGAGGTCACTACCGAGCCGTTTGGGCGGAGGAGGCATGACACCCGGTGGGGCAGGTGACGGCCGACTCTTATTAGTACGGCTCATAGATTAGTAATTCATTGATGTTCGTAGATGTGGCAAACTTGGAGATGACGATATCTGTGGACACGGAATGAGTTGAGCAATGAGGATACCCCTTGTCATCTTCATGATTCATTTCTTAAAACCATCTCGGTTGGCTCATTAGTCTTAATTTAATTTCGAGACACTGTAGACATTTTTAATTACGATAGATTAAAGAAATTGTTTTGACTCTTAAACAATTTCCATGTTAATTTAATTGTGAGATTTTTTTTTTCTGAGATTATATACAAATTTCGTTTTATTTAAGTTGGTTCCAAAAGAGGGGACACATCCATGGGATCAGACACTCCTCTCAAAAAGTCATAAGACTCAATAATTATCGTGGTTAACCATCGTGAATCAAAATGCCTGCAATAGGCCATAAAATAATTTTAACATTCCACCACCATAAATAAAAAATACAAAAGCCTACTATTTAATTCATTTACTTACCAAGAGATTCTGACATAATACATTTCACCTGTTTCAGACTGGAAGTTTGGAAGGACAGACCTACCTGAAGACAAAGAAGCTGGTGTCTTTAAGTGAACAGAACCTGGTTGACTGCAGCAGCAAACAAGGTAACGAAGGGTGTAACGGAGGTTGGATGGATTATGCGTTCAAGTACGTCAAGCAAAACAAGGGAATCGACACCGAGGCTTCCTACCCCTACGAGGCAGAGGTAAATTGATGAAATAGACAGAAGTTTGGCAATTGCATTGAACAATATTTTAAGCCATTTTACTCAAATTTTCAACCCTACTATTTCAACAAAACAATAATTTCCTACATTGGTCAACCTCATTGTTAGATCCTGAAGCACTCTTGTTATAACACTACGTATGACGCAGGACTGTGGTCATTAGTAATAGTAATCTAACTTTAACTTCACAGGATGACTCATGCAGATACAAGGCCAAGAACAAGGGAGCCACTTGCTCTGGCTACGTGGATGTGACTACAGGAAGTGAGAAGGCTTTGCAGCAGGCCGTGGCTAAGATTGGACCAGTGTCTGTCGCCATCGATGCCGGCCACAACTCCTTCCAGCTGTACAAGAGCGGTAATTTTAATCATAACTACACACATTGTACAACGTGTGTTATGTAGATTTTATGCCATGAGATTCTTTCTCAGTACTAAACCAAAAGATAGCAGCGAGTGTGATTAAAGCTGGTTTTCCTAGGCGCGGAAGCGGAGAGCGGAGAGAGGAACGCGGAGAGTGGAATTTTAATTAACATGGCATTCCGCTCCACTTCTAGGAAAACAGTAACATTAAATTGCCTAAGACAAGTGGAGTCCGCTCTCCGCGTTCCTCTCTCCACTAGCCGATCCCGCGCCTAGGAAAATCCAGCTTAACGTAAAGTAAAGACCATTTTTACCGCTGAACCCAAATCTTTAATTCTAGTTGTAGCTAGTTGTGATAACTTCTAGTTGTAGTGCACAGTTGAATGTGTGATGTGTGGTGTGGTGGTTCCAGGAGTGTACAAGGAGCCTTCGTGCTCCACCACGAACCTAGACCACGGAGTGTTGGCTATCGGATACGGCACTGCCAAGAAGGGAGGAGACTACTGGTTGGTGAAGAACTCCTGGGGAACCTCCTGGGGAATGAAGGGATACATCATGATGGCCAGGAACCACAAGAACATGTGTGGTATTGCCTCCAAGGCCAGCTACCCCACAGTCTAGAACATCATTATATCATGGCCAATGGCCAGCTCAACGTCCTTACTTTGTTATTATTAAGTTAAATAAAACCTGTTAGTAAATTGTATTTGCTGTTCTAATATAGACATTTTGCCCTTCATTCCATCTTTAACACCAGCTCATTTAAAAGAGTTTTTAATGAAACATTATAAAACCGAAGGATCAATAATATTTTTTCTTAAGTTTTGATATACAATGAATTAGTTACCTATATTCATTGGCAAAATATGTAAATTTTACTTTTAAATTTGAAAATTTTAAGCTAGTTTTTTTTTAAGAAAATCATTTGGTTTTAGATGAAATTATAAAATAAAAAAACATTTTAATGAGTTAATTTGTAAAATTATTCCATCAACATTTTACCTGTGCGTTTATTTCAATGAGTGATTTGTGATCAATCCTAAAAAGGGAAATATCAATGAATTTTGTAGATTGTATTTTTTTCTTAATTAAGCGTAAACTATAAGTATGTGTGAACACGTATAGATTGGAAAGGATTAATAATTCCTCATGCGAAGATAGGACAGTATGTGAAACAGGAGGACAAAAATATATAATCAAAGCTTGTAAGCAGATGTCCATACGATTGAAACGTATAATAGGTTTCAGGTGATAGACATAATACGACTTTCAATTAAGAAGCTACAACATTCAAACATAGACAGACATTTAATTTATTCAAGTCCAAAGTTAAACTACCAGCTCAAAAATTGACATTTACTCTACACTGAACAGCAAACAATGTTATCTTCAATCCACTGGTGTCAATATCTTGACTCTAGTAATCTAGCAACAGTTAAGTACTAGAACTAGAGTACTAATTATTATGATAGGACAGTCACGGATAGCTTGACTTTGATGGATTGGGTTAATCTCTAAATGAGAGAGATTGTGAAGCACTATTAAGCTTTTACATTGCGTGAAAGGAGTTTATCTTTCAGCACTGTGAACTGGAGATTGCACAATAATTATTTTTTCAAATTGCAAATAAGCTCTATTATTAACGCTAATATTAAAATTTTGTTTACTTTTCTAGTTTGAGTTTTTAAATTAACAGCCAATTAGGATAAATGGGTGTTTATATTCTTCATGTTATGTGTTCTTAAAGTGCATAATTGCGAAGGAGAACTGATACGATTTTATTTTATACAATTCTCCTACGCTAATGTTTATGAGTACATATGTTTCGGGAAGTAAGGACAATCCTCCCGTTTTCAAAAGACTCGAATGTCTCTTTACCTTCTGAAATGTAGTATTGTCAAAACACTTAGCGAAGTAAAATTGCATGATTTAAATTTTAATCGTTGTGTGTCTAAAAAACTTAAAGCAGCGGAGTGTTTTTGTAGTTAGTGTGTTAATTTGTATTAATTTGTGGAAGATATTATTAAACTGGTGCGAAAAATGTTAAATTCCATCATTTTCTAAGAAAAACATATGCATGTGCATCAATAAAGTGATGAGCCTTCATAATGGAAATTAAAATGCATTGATTGCTGGGATTGCCCAGATATCGGTCAAACAGGCAGAACCTTTACCCAACGGCACAAAGAACATTGTCCCAACCCCAGAGCAGACAAACAAAAATATACTTTCGCCCAGCATTTTATAAGATGTATAAAAATCACACCTGATGCAATCAACAATAGCGTAGAAATTCTTAATATTTGTAACAAAGAAAATAAATTAGATTCTATAGAGCAATTTGAAATATACAGAAGCTTCCAAGACAGTCACAAAACTATATTTTAAACTACGGTACTCTGAACTTTCTGGACTTTACTTTTAGACCCTCCTAAACCATGCCTACGATTCTAATAAACAATAAAATACATTTAAAACATTTTTGCAAGATGTGGAAACCACTGCAAATTACAAAAATAGACTTCTTTGTCAAGGCGCGGAGGAAATCGCACGCCAAGGAACAACGACCGGTGACTGTGACTACTTACTCTTGCTTGGGCTCCTAGCATGTGCTCCTTGCTTTTTCAGTGTTACCAGCTGATCATTTATGTATTATGATTTTTTGTGTTATTGTTTTGATTTTAAAAATTAAACTTTTCTAAACTAACAAAACCTAACCAAACTTGCTGTATAATTTCATGAATAGGTTTCATAAGGGATATGGGGACGCCATTCCTGGCTTTGTGAGTATTCGTGACTGCATTAATTATTTTTAAGGTAGGATTGGGATGAATATTTACACAAGAGATTGAGTCTCACTTGTAAGTACGGAGACGCCACAACCTAATTTTGAACGTGTGAACTTGGACCTGTTGCCTCTGTAGTCATATCTACCAATGAAATCCCAGTTCAGAGTTGCCGGTATATTTAGTTATGTTTGTCTCCACTTAGGCTATGATATCATAGGATGATGAGCTTTAATAGATAGCTCAATCATGTTTTTCATAGTCCATTAACATTTTGAAAATATACGTTCAGATTTAATGGCACTCCGTTAGAATTCCAAGAGATCATTTTGTTATGTAAGTTATCAAATATTTCCTAAATTAACAAAGTTTTAACGTACAAATGCAAACATTAAATAGAATACAGAATATTGAATTAATCTGGATAAAAGTTTCCACATGAAAGTAGTTTACAATTACGAAAGTTAGTTATGAAGGTTAGTGAAAAAGTAAATTTGCTTTCAATTGAGAAGGTAAAAAAGATTTAGTCGAAAAAACCACAAAGCAATACATAGTTATGAACGCCGAACGAAAAGTTATACGATCAATTAAAAAGAACGATTTTAATTTACCTACCATGTTTAGACTGAATAGCCCTCAAATTAATCTGCTTTATACGTGATTCGTAAACACGTAAATCAATTCTATGCTGTCAGGTAAACATCATGTTCCGTAATAGAAGCAGTTAACTTGAAATTGATTAAAAGTAAATTGGTTCATTTTCGAACTACACCTTTAATACTCCCGAAAATATTACAGCAGAAGTTTGCTTAAAATACGTACGTAGGCGGTGTCCCAATACCAATTGGGGATGAGTTCACAATATTATTTAAATAATACGGTCTCCATTTGACGAGGCTAAGCTTATGAGCTATCTTATAAGTTTGTCCCCGTAAAATGGAAATTGGATACAATATTAACAAGATAGCTAAGTAGGCAGCGGTAAGTGGTGACAGCACATAGTACAAAGAATAACAACAAGTGATATATTAGTACTTTATCAAAAATGGCAATAACTTAGTAACAATAGCACGAACAATAATAACAAAATAAACAGTATCAAAGGGTAACAATAACAATCCTATAATCTAAAACAAGCACGTGTACGGGAAAACTTTTATATTCGTCCAAGGATTTTTAATTTTTTTGTTTATTATGGGATATTTGGCCACGAAAAAATTGATTCGATCTGGTTACAAGGCTAGGGAAAATCAAGTTTCTGCCCTACAGCCCTTTAAAGTGTCCACGTTATTGTCAATACCATTTTGTAGCTACAGTCAATAAAACAGCTCATAAATGTGATGTTTATAGCAATCGTTGTATTTTTAAAGGTTTATTAAAATGTTTTCTTTGTATAATTTAAAATGTGTTCACATTGATCAACGTGAATAACTAAAATCTAACAATTTAACTTATCCAATAAATTTAGTGTTTGTTTCAATCCGAGCAAAGCTCAACATCCTGGTACTAACAGTTAAAATGACAAGACAAAGTTAATGAGAGTATTTAACTATTTATAAAACGAGAATAAGTTTATTGGACAGCTTTTAAAGAGTTCCTAGAACATCAATTTTCTGAAGGACTTTCCAGGACTTTTTTTAACGACAGCGATTACCAAAGATGTATTCTCTCACTGATAAATGTCTCTCATTATCAATTGTCCATAAATTAAATGTCCCTACGGTAATGTTTTTATCCTATACTAAAGTAGTTTCTTTTTTTACAATGAATGCCAGCCTCGTTTAATTTTCTGTTTCTCCTGACCACATAGTTATTTAGCCTGTTCGTGGAATTTACCTTGCTAAACAACATGTGAGTCGATACGGTAAAAGAGTGAATTTATTGATTTATTTTAGTGGCCAAAGACAAGATTGTGGATGTCCATTTCACTGCGCTACCAACTGAGCCGTCAACTCACATTGTGTGAATGTACAAAGTATTTTGCATTTTACAACGAAATTTCACAAACAAGCGCAATGCCATTAAATTCTTAAAATATGTTTGAAAACCTACGCAACATTACAGCTTAAAGTGAGTGTAAATGCAAGACCCAGGAGATAATCCTCAACTTAACAACTTGTATAAGCTCAGAACTTCACCCAGATATCTTTATGTTTCCTTCCTGTCGTTACGACCAAACGTTCCATCTGTGTAACGGAGCGCATTTCAACTGTAATAACTTTGAATATTTACATACAAAGGTTTTATACCAGTTCTTACAGATTTCCTCAAATGCTTATTTTAATTTGCAAGTACTCTATCTTTAGTATAATCTACACATAATTTTGTAGTTTATATTTAGATAAACATAGCCTGTTATACCTACTATTTTTCATATTAGAACTGCTAGTTTACAAATAGACGTTTAGCCTCCGGATTTCTGTATTATATCATTGACTTTTGGATACTGAAGATTATAATTAAAATTCTGTTATGCCTGTATATTTATCCTTAGTATCTTTGAACTTTGGTAACCAGCTACAAATGAAGTAATGGTTTTCACTACTTATATGCGAGGTTGTTCAAAATAAGAACCGTAACTAGTTGCTACCACAGCATCCAAGGATTTCTATGTGATATTGTAAAACATTATAAACGCAACAGGGTTTATCAATGTACTACGTATGCGTAAACATATTTAATATAGGCCTATATATGTTAAGCCCAACCCAAAACATTATTTATGATAACTTTCCCGGAGACCAGACTTTAACGATAACATGTTTTTAAAGATCGACTATATTAAATTCATATACAGTATTACCTGGGTTCAAAAGCTATTGAGCTCATAAGTCAAACTAAATTAATTTCGGAACTCTTTCAGCTCCTACAAAGACTACGAGTATGTTATAAAGTAATATTCTCCCAAAGCAAAATCTCC